ACTAGGATCCCAAGATCTCTTATTTGGCTGACTTTTTGCAGAAAGTGTCATTCTGCCTGCCACGCTCAGATTATGAAATGTTTAATTAACTAATAACTATGGATCCTACATATTTAGACAGTATTTTTACTTCACAAAAAATAAAACCTCATGAACAGAAATTTAGATTCAAATTACTATTCAAGTTTTATTATTCAAGTTATTTATTTTACTAGAAACATCTGGCAGGCCAAATCCAACCATATGGAGGGCCAGCTTTGACCCACGGGCCCCACTTTGAGCGGCCCTGCAGTGACGTGAAAGTCACATGAATTCTGACTGCTCACAGTGAGGTGCACAAAATCAGACCTGTATCTAATTTAGGACCACATATGAAAGTGACCCAAACCAGTTTGTTAAATGAAATGGATAGAGGCCTTACATTGCTTTATTATTTCTAAAAACAAAGTTTTCACACATAATTTGTGGACTGAACTTTAAAAGTATCCCCCAGTGTTGAGGAAATACTCAGTTAAATACTCAGTTCCAGCAATTATTCAATGAGTAAAGAGCTTGTATGGTTAATTCACTGAATCATTTTAAAGGCTTACTGGTTATTAGACCTCCTGTTGTAATTGCTGAGCAGTGCCTCTTTAATCTTGTGTTCACTTGTGTCACTCTCTTCCTCTTCATGTTCTTCCTCTTCCACTCCATCCAGCTCTGGGCATAACCTGCTTGACAAGCGTGTCTTAATGCATAGCAGGGTCCCGCCGCTCCACAATAGTCATTAAACTTGCGGATTAGCCCCGTTATCCACTTCAAACCCACGCACACACGCACTGTGCCAGCGAGGCCCCCGGAGGCCGATGGTGAAACTGATTCTAACAGGAACTGATGAAACGTTTGGTTGGTGAAGGGCAGCTCAGGAGTTTAAGCCAGAGAAAGTCAGTTCAGTTGTAAAGGCTTGGTGCCAGAGAGAGCGGGCTGCTCACTCAGCCTGACAGCAATGTAGGACAGTCTTTCAGCCTTTCTGTCTGTCTTTTAGTCTCTATTTGATGAAACAAATCTTGGTGGTATGGTTATTGAGTTGGAGCAGTCAAATGAATGTCTATATATTCATAGGAAAGACAATCATGTGCATGTGTCAAGGGACTGTGCACTGTTGAGAATACTGCCCTCAAGAAAGACCTTTCATCAGGACGTGAGTTTGAATAGCGATCTTCCTAGACTGTCAGAAACCGCTCAGTGAATGCCAGATGGGACAGACCAGCTCACCTGTAAGGAATTCATCACTATCATTATCATTGAAGTCCACAAGCTCCTCCGTTAGTTTTGTTCCAATGGCTGAGGCAGGCGGTGCATTAGGCTGTTTTCAAAGGGACAAATGTGTCACATTTATGGCTGCCAGATTGGTTGAGGTTTCTGGGATGAAAACCCTGGTGTGCAGGAGTTAGGCCGCTGTTGGGCCAAGCCTTTTTGTCTACCTAGGATGATGGTGTGGTGGTTTTTACTGCACTTTGTGCTACACTTCCCTGACATCACCTGTTTTTATAGGTTCTTTATTTGCTAAGTAGGGGTGGCTATTATCATTTCAACTACCAGTATAAAAGCAGATAATGCAATATGAACATTTTGCTGATACACACTTTGGATAATTACTTTAATGTCAAATGTGGCAAATGCTGTGTGTCTGAAATCACTCAATATTTCTTATGTAGTGTGCTGTTTACCCAGTGCCATTATGACTGTTCAAAGTGTAAGATTTATGCTCTTTATAGTTTTATCAACCCAGTTCAAGGTGAGGACTTAAGGGAGTTATAGATATTGTGTAAAGTTTAAAACTTCTTACATGAGAAATGAAAATGAATATGTGCAAAAGGGTGGAGCCATTGTGAAGTGTGATGTTTTTCAAGTTTTCAGCTGTTTGTTCAGTGTGAACACTTTGGGCAAAACTAACCATCTTTGTACACGCTTGTAAACGCTATGTTTTCTTTAAAGCCAGGCATCAGTCAGGGTTTGCCATTGCTGACAATGTAGTGTTGAATTTGATATTTAAGTTTGGAAAGGTTCAACTCAAATCTAATTCCCTTAGTCTCTACTTGTGTCTGAAGACCATTTTCTCTGCATGACCATAGCTTCTAATGAATCTTCAGAATTTTTAGCCAGCCCTATAACCTCTGTCTGTCCCAGTGAGTGCGTGAGTAATGAAGGTACACCATTGGTTGGTCGAGTGCTGGAGTTTCCCCATTTGGCGTTGCTCTTTCAAAATAAATAGGTGCAAATGTTAAGTCATATACTTTAACTCCATAGTGTGAGTATGGGCACAGCTCTCCAAGGCTAACAGTAGTGGGTTCATACCCTCTAGTGCTCATGCTGCATTGTAGACTTTTAAGTCCCCTTAATACATAGATTCGTCTGTCCTTAAATTGGGCTGAAACCGGACAAACACACATCCACTTCATGTGACACAACCAGTCCACACCACAACGACACATCACAGTACACTACAGCACCTGTTATTCATTCAGAGGGGGTCACTCATCATAACTTCAAAACAAAGCCTACTGCTGAGAGAAGCAGAGACGATGATTAAACACTGTAACAGTCCTAGGACAAGTTGCAGAACATATAATATCCAGTAATCCACATTATAGACACTACCACTGATTATGTAAGAGTTCTGCCACACGGTCCAGCCATATACTAGGTTTTCAACCTAGTGTTGTTGATACTGACAGTGACAGGGGTTATTGGGTGATTGTTTGTCTGCTCTCAGACAGACAGACAGACAGGAACAGAGGGACAGACAGAGACAGGCAGACAGACAACAACCACAGACTCTGTAGGCTGATCAGAGTGGAGAGATAGTGTTGATAGTATTTGATTAGGCCAAGCCGACCTCACCACCTCTACATCAGTATGCCACATTATCAGTTGACCTTGTTGTCTCAGTCCCTTTCATAGTTAATGCAGTTTGCTGACATACTCATACTGTCTGATTACACTTTTACACTTGCATACTGACCGGCAACATTTATCCATAAAACATTGGTTGAACATTTTGCCTTAGATATTCTCTTGTTTACTATACTGCCTGTGAACCCTGTAATCAGTCCTGTGAACTAAAGCTAACAGTGGAGCTAAGGTGACTGTTTGATAATGCCACTGTCAGGCTGTCTGTCTGATGCCCTAACCCTAGCTCATACATTATGGATTAGTGCAGGGGTAGACTGCAGCAGGGGAGAGTCTGGTGATCTCTCTTTTTAAGGCTGTGACTGTTAATACAGAACATGCTTTTTTTTTGCTGTTTGTTAATTTGTCCACCCAGTGTATTCAAAATGGGAGACTTCAGCAGTGGCAACCATTTGTGCAATGCTTTCAGCAAAAGTTTTCTTTTATTGCCTTTATTGGATAGTGACAGCCAAAGATAGACAGGAAAGGGGGGCAGAGTCGGACCCGAACCTGGGCCGGTCATGGGTCGCCAGCTCTACCGACTGAGCCAACCGGGCGCCCAAAAGTTACATTTTTATTGCTGCTCCTATCTCTGTAATATCACATACTACTTTAAAATGGGATTTTAGTAGATCCTGATTAATGCACGCAGGAAGGTGTAGTAATGCAAAATGTGTGCAAGAAGCTAACTCGGATGAAAAGAAATCTGTGTTTCAGGTAACTCTGCTCACACACAACACATTTGGATAAGAGAAGAAGATGCAGATATCCTGTTTCGGTGACGTAATGTTTTCCTGAGCAGTTGAGGGCTTTTAACTGAGTGCCTCCTCTCTTTCTGTCTACCTGGAAGTGAGTCAACTCTCTGTGCCGCCCGGGGGCCCTGCTGTCATTACTGGATAATGGAGATGGAGCGCTGTCCTGGATCTGATCGCCTTTATTTAGCTGCTCCTCTCTTTTCTCTTTGTCCCTGACCCACATACACGCACGCGCGCACACACACACACACACACACACACACCACACACACACGCACGCACGCACACACACACACACACACACACACACACACACGCACACGCACGCAGGCAACCACACACATACAGCAGGTGTCAGTCTCATCATTAAGCATGCCACAGTGTGGACGATGTGCATAAACGTGACAGACCTTTAACTTTGCTTTTGCAGAATTTGCATTGTGGTATTTCAATGATTTTGGACAGTAAAACATCTGTCGGCCAAAAATCAGAGCATCAAGACTGATGCTGAACTACTCAGACTTTGGAGTCTGAGTGTGAAAATAAAAGATGCAGGTCAGAATCACTGTTCCACTCCAGGTCCTTCACTTCCTAAAGGAGTTCAACTTGTGGAGACTGGTCTTTTTACTACCGATTTACTACAGCTGTTAATCGGAAACACCTCCAAGAGTCTGTTACTGTGTGTGTGTGTGTTATGCTTGTTGCTGCAGTCAAACCTATAACTTCCGGATTTTAGCCTGCAGAGGGCAGCATTTCTCAACTCTTTTTACCATCAGTGTGCAGACACTGGGTTGTTTCAGCAGCAAAGAGAACATCAGTTCAGCAGGGGAAGAGATGTACAGAAAAGTGACGCATACTAAAATAATGTTGTTAAAATCTTTCTTTAGGAGATTTAACATTTGCAGCTGATTCCTGATCAGCTACAGGAGTTTGACATTGTGTAAAGTTTAAAACTGCTTGCTTAAATTTAAATGTCTTTTATTTGGCAGTGTCTTAAATTAACAAGGTAGAAACTAAAATAAATATGTACAAAAGGGTGGAGCCATTGTGAAGTGTGATGTTTTTCAGGTGCAGCTGCTTGTTCAATGTGAACCCTTTCAAATCTAACCATCTTTGTAGCTGCAGCGATTAGGTGATTAATCAATTAGTTATTGTATTAAAAAATGCATAGCAAATATTTTGATAATTGATGATATTTTTTTTCATATATAATTCTGGTCTTCTATGACAGTAAAGTGAATGATTGATCAAAGTTGTGCTGTTGTATCCAAAAGTTAAAATAATCATTGTTTCTCTCTTCTTGCTGTTTTTCAGATGTTTTCAAAAGTGGAGTGCTGAAAATGTGGAATCTTGTCCTAAAATAAGATGCAAAGATCAGGGCCCGTAAATGCATATTTCTCTAAATTACAGTTCTGCAGTTGACAAGGACACGATGACTTACAGCCCTCGAGGAAGTACTGCAGAATTTTCGAGCAGTGTTTAAAATGTATAAGTGTCTGGACTAGATATCCAAAGGAGAACTGCAAACACTGCCCTACAAGAATGGATTGACAATCTATAAAATGTCAACATATAAAGAATATAAAGAGGATAAAAATCTGTGAAGAACACTGTTCATAGTTCCTCCACAACCAGCAAGAACAACAACAGGAAGCCAATGGGCCAGTAACGTTCATCACAGATCAGAAAGTACAACATTCCTGATCTAGAGATGAGTGTTTCTCAGCCCAGCGAGGGTCTCCCTGTCAGGGGCAAAAGTGGATCCACCATGAGGCTCCCACTTCACAGTGCAGGAGACCACAACGGGAATGCTTTCCCAATTTCCTCCTCCTCCTCCTCCTCTTCCTCCTCCTCCTGTCTGGGGGAGTCGTCTCCAGAGTCACTGCGGAGCCTGAGCAGCCTCAGTGGGGGCCGGACTGACAGCCCACTGGACTATGACATGTTTGAGGTCACCCTGATGACGACAGTGATGACCAAAACGGACAACGTGACAGATGTTGTCATTGAGAAATGGGTGCCAGAGGAGAAAAGTAAACCAGATGACAATGACGACGTCTCAGTGGGAAAGATACAAACAGCGGCAGAGCTAACGGAATCCAACGACAACTCTGTGTCTGTCTACCTGGACGCCATCAGTGGCGAGTACCGCCAAGACACCTGGAACGACAACCTGGCGCTGGCCCTGTCCCTGGCGACAAACAGCGGTGGCTGCGGCAATACTGATGACCTCAGCAGCAGAAGTGGTAATGGGAGACGGCATGGCTCCTCAACCCCAGATTCAGACGCTACAGAAATCCCTGCCGATGATGATGATGACGATGATGAAGAGGAGGGTCTGTTTTTGTCCGTGAGCTCTGACATGGGTGTGCGGAGAAGCAGCGTGACCCTCATAAGCTCGGGCAGACAATCCAGTGACAGCCTGGTGGACCCAGGTAGCTCTGCTGTGGCTCTGAGTGTAGCTGATGATGAGAGGTCAGAGCTGGTGTTAGAAGGGCTGGAGGTTGCCTGTCCCCTCGGTGTACCTGTGGAAGACCAGACAGAGCCTCCTGCTTGTGAGGACCTTTGTGACACCCCCCTGAGATCATCATCTTCTGCTAATCCAAGTCAAGATGCTAAGGAAGTCACACATTCTGCACCTGAGAAAGTTGAATTCAGTGCAGTGGGCCCCAAACCAAACGCCAGTCAGCCAGCCAGAGCAGCTAAATCCAAATCAACCACTTCAACTACAACTGCTCCCAAGACAGCCGTCAAACCATCCTCTCTGGAGGCAAAGAGAGTTTCCAAACTGGATCTAAAAAACGTCAAGGCTAAAGTTGGGTCCCGGTCCACATCATCTCCAGCTAAAACACCTAGCCAGGTATTGTAGTGTTACTGAAAAGCTTCCATGACTCAAGTATTGTACAGCTGTCTTCTGTCTAATGTTTGTAATTCTTCTTCTGCGCAGCAGAACAGATCCATTCCATCCAATGGAAAAAGAGCTGTTTCTAGGAAGGAGGAAGCACAGACTGGGGATGGAGGTAAAAAGCAAAGATCATCTACAGGTCCAGTCAAAGTGGCCGTGGTGCTGAAACCCATCAGAGGGAAGAGTAGTAACCTCACAATCAACCACAAGACAGCAGCCGGTGACTCCTCTCAGCCAGAGAGGAAGAGTGCGGCTGTCAGTCGAACACTCTCCACTTCGACCAGCTCTCTAGGGTCTGAGGCGGTTGAGGAAGGAACCCTGGACTCTCCCAGGAAGGCTGTCCCGGAAGTGCCTGGTAAACTGGAAACAACTGAAGGTGTGGAGAATTCCCATCCAAGTGAAGATGCTCATAAAGAGTCTGTGGAGGACCAAAGGGAGGGTACTGGAAAGGCTTTAATGACGGAGGCAGCAGTGGAGAAACCAAGGAACCATAGCAGGGTGAGTAAGATGAGAAATGTGTTTAAACTGAGCATCTCTTGGATGAGAGAGCGGGGATCCATCTTCCTTAATTACTAAATCCATGAATATGATTTCCTTCTGTGCTCTGCTGGCCAGGAGACTTATTTTATCCAAAGATTCCCTCCCTACTACATATGGGCAGTGGATTAGAAAGGTCATGTGTCATGCCTACCTAGAAGAAGATCAGATATACCATAATAGAGTCCACAAGAAAATTCCATTCCTATCCTCTGTTGATGGCACTGCAGCTGCTATCTTTTTTCCTTTCTTAAATTATTTGTTATTTTTGTATACTTCTTTTTATGTGTGTATGTGAACTTATCTCTATGAATGTAATATGTATTTATATGGGCATATTTTTGTATGGATGTCTGGCTGTACGCAAATGTACCAATGGTTTAGTTATTGGGGGGTTTGATGTATCGATTCTCAAAAACACTGTATAGATTTTTATGTTTAGATCACCAACAGCTAGATATCCGTGTTGAACGTAAACTGAGGGCAGTGATGTTGGATATTACAGGGACTGTGATCAGTACAAATGCAGATCCCACGCTTCTGGTTGCATGAAAATAGTAAACTTTTTTTAAATTCAGGTTTTATGCATGTAGCGGTGTGGTCTTTGACAGTTCAATCTCAAATTTGATTTCTCAATATATCGCCTATCACGATAGATCGCTATATATTGAATCGTAACCCCTGTCTCGTGATATGTATCGTATCACCAGATTCTTGCCCATGCACAGCCCTACTATCTACTTGTGGGGTATTTCGTCTATTTCCAGAGGTCTCCTCTTTAGGAACCGAGTCTGAGCCAGGGGTGTGTTTTGTTTTTTGCCTTTAAAATAGTATCTGCCTGGTCTTTAATATAACGTGTCTTGATAAGGCATTCTAGACTCCATCCTTTTTGACATTTATATGGAGATGTTTTCAGACATAATGTATAACTTAACCTTTTGATCAAACTGCTTTCCTTATGTGTTTCAATGAACCAGGCATTTTGCTCCACCTAGAACATGTACTTGAGGACACACCTTACCATGGTAGAGCACGCCTGTATTGTCCTCTGTTTGTCTGTTGAGCCTGTCCTTTAATACCCTGAAGTTGGTACATTATTAAAACATTTGAGTGTGCAATTATTTTTTTTTCTGCACCTCAACTGAGCATCTCTGCCTCAGCCTTGTGTGTTTAGTCACAGTCACTGGCCCGAGATATAGCTTATGCAACACAACCATTGTGAAACAGATAAGTGTTGCCACCCGCTGGATCACATCATCTGTCATAAAACCTGGTGGGTTAGTGTGTGTGTGTGGGGAGTCATTGGGTTTACTGGTTTTTTTTAGGCTAGACAAAGAAAACTTTGTGGATACACAGTAACATAAAAAGTGTCTCCAGCAGTGTTATGTTTTTTTTAAATGAGCACAGGTTGTCACTTTTCAGAGTTTTATTTTTAAATTCCAGCTTTACAGCTGAAAGGAAAATAGCAGTTATGGTATATGCTCAAACAGGGAATACTGGAGTTAAACATTGTCATTAACATTTGCAGGTCAGAGGTAGATGGGTTGGAATTACGTAAAGTATAAGTCAACACCGGAAAATGAACTGAATGAACTGTGAATAACAGGCAAATGCAAATCCAACTTTTGTCAAAAGGCAGTGAGCTTTAGTCGTCTCATGCCCTAAGCTGTGCTGTTGTCTAGCATCATTTGCATGCACAGAGGAGACAATGTCATAGCAGGTTTGGTGTGCACATGCAGTTGTACATGTACAATGTGTATGTACTCTGCCTCTGGTATGTGTGAGCCAATGACAGGTTTAAAACCTGCCCTAGCATATTCTCTCGTAGGCAGCCTCAGGGGATTGTATCAGCGCAGGGTGTGTTTAAAACAGGTCTCACACACCTGTGCATGAGAAACAAATATGTGTAAAAACCAGTGTATTTTGAAAAAGTTGTGATTGCAGTCAAACAAGGTAATATTTTCAAGAAGTTCCAACCAATCCAATCTAATCAAAGTTGACAATTCTTGTCACTTAGTTATTCACACTGATTTGCTTGATTATTTTATGTTATTCCCATCGTAACTTTATTTTATTGATATTCAGAGAAATGGTGTTATACATGTGAGCATCAATTGGGCCCAGTTCAGCTGCCAGCTAGCATGTCAACACATGATTTAGTGTATATTGGTATGCTACAATAATCCGTGGGCTCAGCCTCTTGGCTCAGCTGAAAAGTCAAAGGAGGCTTTAAGCTACAAGAACACTCCGAAGTGTTTCATCTCTTCTGAACAGGCCCCGTGTCTGCTGCTCTGCCACTCTGGGTGGGGAGGTGGAGGTGACAGGGCACAATGCTTTTTGAACGAAAGCACATCAGGGATTTTATCTAAGAATAGATTTGTGGACGTTCTCTTTTTTTCTTCACTGTCCCAAGTTCTCGACTGCTGTTAGTACAAATAGCTGAGCAATGACGGCTAACAACAGTTTCTATAAGCTGAGTCTTTCTTCTGAAGAGAGTGAGACAGACGCCAGACCTTCATCCACAAACTCACTCCATGTGTGCTGGTGTTTATAGAGTCAGAGGGGTGGGGGTGGGGGTGGGGGTGGAGAGAGAGAGAGAGGGAGAGAGAGAGGGGGAGAGAGAGAGAGGGAGAGAGAGAGAGAGAGAGAGAATTCTCAAGGGGAATGTACAACACAATAGCAACTTTTTTTTACCCCTCTTGTGGTTGCAGCACACTCCCAATTGTCCCTCCTCCCTCTCTTTCCTTCTCTCGCTTTTCCTCCTCCCCCTCTATCTTGACACACTCTCTCCCTCACTCCTCCCCTCTGCTCCTTCACTGCCTCCCTCGCTTCCCCCCAATCCACATTTCTGACTCTGAGCGGGGAATGGCTAACACCATGGTCTCAGTGCGCAGCTCCGAGCTGGGGCCCCTCGGCTGGGATGCAGTCACTAAACGTCAGCTCTTCCTACAGAAAGTCTCCTCCAAGCTGGGGCCCAATTCCAGGCCGCAGGGGAGAGGCATCAGAGTGGATAAGGGGCCCACTGGACCGGCTCCACCTCCAGGGTCAGGGACTGGAACTCCAGGACAGGGGAGCCCCGGGCCAAGGCAAACCCAGAAGGATGGCTCCACGTTGGAGGACGGACAGGGCGCTGGTGGTGGATCTCCAACGAGAGCGAGGCAGAGCCAAAGTCAGTGCCAGGGTGAGTCAGTATGGTTTCTGTATGTATGTAGAGACATAAACATGAGCTATTTCAGTACACACACACATTAACTTCATGAAGGCTGAAATGTAAACACGCTGCACATGGACTGTATGTCTGGTCTGCTCCGCTCGACAACACTCTCTTCAGCTTCTCTCTCTGTCAGTCAGGCATATAGACTCGTGTGTGTGTGTGTGTGTGTGTGTGTGTGTGTGTGTGTGTGTGTGTGTGTGAGTGAAAAACTCTGCTTTGTCTCTGCAGCAGACTCAGGAAATGAGCAGGCTGACACTGCAGAGCTGCAAGTTAAAATGCCTTCCACATACCACTACACCACTCACATGCACATACACACTCTCACTCACAGACACTCTGTTTTGCAGGCCTTAACACACACTGTTTTTCGATTTCCACACTCTGTCACACACAGTGAGCAAGTTGCTGACGGACAGGCATGTACTGTTACTGTTACTGTGTGTGTGTGTGTGTGTGTGTGTGTGTGTGTGTGTGTGTGTGTGTGTGTGTGTGTGTGTGTGTGTGTGTGTGTGTGTGTGTGTGTGTGTGTGTGTGTGTGTGTGTGTGTGCAGCTGGTGAATTAGCTTCTCGTGTGTGATTGTTTCAGCTGCAGTGTTGCATAAGAGCAGAACTCTGTTTCTTTAAATTCTACAGTTGACAAACTACTGCTGGACACTGGACTGTGTGTTTATGTGCAAACTAATTTTACCCTGCACTTCCCTGTTTGTCTGCAGAGGAAGTTGAAGAGCACATGGGTAACATTTTTCCCTTATATACTTTCATGATTTTTTTTCTTTTCTCCCTCATCCTTTTTTTTTTTTTTCTCCTTTCTCCGCTTTCTTTTTCCTCAAGGGAATTTCAGGTCTGTGTGTGTGTGTGTGTGTGTGTGTGTGCGTCTGTGTGTGTGTGTTTGTGTGTGTGTGTGTGTGTGTGCGTGCGCCACGCAAAGTGATATGTGTTGAGTGGGGAAATGGAGAGCGCTGTTGGCGTCATGTCAGTCACATGTGTCTGTGTTTGTGGGTGTATTAGTAAATACAGTGTATGCTGCTGGTGACAAGACCCTGTTGAGACACTCCACTTAAACATGGTGTCCCCTATCTGGTGTCCAGTGGCCTGTAATCCTACTAGTGTGTGTGTGTGTGTGTGTGTGTGTGTGTGTGTGTGTGTGTGTGTGTGTGTGTGTGTGTGTGTGTGTGTGTGTGTGTGTGTGTGTGTGTGTGTGTGTGTGTGTGTGTGTGTGTGTGTGTGTGTGTGAGAAACCAGATCTTTCTCCTTATAAAAGGTCACATTCGGATGGACAAAAACTTGTCTGTCCTCTCCGCTGATACTCAGGAACAAACGGATGCCTCTTGACCTCAGACTGAGATCGCCATCAATGGATTCCTTTGAGTGTGTGTGAGTGTGTGTGCGTGTGTGTGCCATTTTGAATTTTGACTCGATTACTTCATTACAAATCCTTTCCATTACAGGTTTAGCCAATGTACTCACGTGCTCTGTGTTTATCTGTACTTAGATGTGATGGGCTTTGTAAACAGTTAAATCTGCCTCTAAGATAAAAGAAATCCACATAAGCGTGAGGCAAACTGACCAGTCCACATTTTATCAGGAGGTCAGTCTTGGGTCAGGTCTTGCTTTAGCGTGATAACACTCCTCAATAGATTGTCCCCTTGGCTCACTATCTGCTAAACATGCACGGCCACAATTTAACAGTTTAATGTGTTCTTGTGGCCACATGGACGCTGCAGCACATGGTTGTGTTTCCTGTTTGCTATGCTGATTCATGGTTTGGGTGTTGAGTTTAAGTGTAGATTTGGTTCTGTCACTCAACCATTTACTGCTGTGGAGTACCATGGCTCAACACCCCTTATGTTATGCAAAACATTACCATTGTAGATAGCAGGGGGCTGACATCTTCAGAGCAGGAGACACATTCATTGAGTAGGCCTGAGGAAGACTTTGGTGCATTGCACAGACCTTTTTAACCAGTATTATTGGCACGGAATAAAACACTCTTCAGCTCAATCTTGTTTATCTTCCATTACTGCTGACCATTTTTCCAAGCTTCCTTCGGGCCAGTTGCGCACGGTGAATGTACGTCCATTAAAAAGTGCTTGTTTTTGCCACTGACTGGCTCAGATTGTTATTATAAGTGTCTGACAACATTATGGAAAAGATTCCCATAGAGATAGACCTGTTTTGTTAAAGATCCTTTTTTGGTTAACCAGAAACAGCTGTTATATCGCTCTGTTCTAAGCCACCAGACTCTATTGACAAAAACAGTAATTTTACCTTGCAGAACACGGGGGTCACTGGCCTACCGCTGCCTCAATTGGTTTGTGTTATTGTGTGACTTTTAAATGGTTAAAAACACCAAAACCTGTCTTTGGCTGCCAGCTGCAGCACTCTCCCTCAGTACTGGACCTGTTTCTCTTAGTCTTAGGAAATTGGGTCCAGGTTGGAAAAATACAATGTCCCTTTAAACTAACATCTAAGTCTAAGCAATCAGCTGCAGAGCAACATTTTTAGAGTTTGGTCTTGGGTTTATGGTTAGGTTAGGTTAAAGGAATGAAGTCACTAAAAGTTCCAGACTGGTGTTGTCAGTTAACTGTGTGTACATGTGTGTTTTTGTGTACCAACAGTAGGCACGAGGCAGTTCTATAGTGCACCAGCTCTTACCTAACATTGATTTCCTAGGTAAGAGAATACAGCTGATTTACTCTGGCTTTTCATCAGAACTGAAACAGAATGAAGCCAGATGTTTCCTGCCAGCTTCAGTCGCAGTACAAGTTTTACTGCTGCTCTGACTTCGCTAACAGAGACTACTGTGTGTGTGTGTGTGTGTGTGTGTGTGTGTGTGTGTGTGTGTGTGTGTGTGTGTGTGTGTGTGTGTGTGTGTTACTGTGAGGTAATGTAACACATGTAAACTTTTTCTCTTTATTACAAGCCCTGCTTCTTCCCTGTTCTTTGTGCTTTCTGTCTCTTTCTCTCTCTCCCTTTGTGTGTCAGAACTCATATTTGTAGAAAGTTTGATTCAAACTTTAATGATCTCTGTGGATAAATGAAGTTGTTGCATAATATGACACAGCAGAACAGCAACAATAAGATCCAAATAATATAGCAAATTGTTGGTCGTAAACATACAATAAAATGCCAACAGCAGGATTGGGAGAGTTACCTTAAAAATATAATCCAATACAGTTACTAATACCTAACCTGTAAGAAAAACTGATTTTATAATTTGCAGTCCTACTAATAATGCCCCTTTTATTCTAACTGTAATGGATTACAGTTACTTTTTTGTATCCTGATTATGTAACTTAGTTATATGTAACAGATATTAAGTACAAATATGAAATGAAATGACCTTACTGCACATGCAGGATGCACAAATGGAAGAGAGTTAGACTCCATTAAGGCCCAAAAGGAGGTGGGATAACCTGTATATGCATTCATCAGTATGTCAGTAGCACTGTGCAGGTCAAACCTCACAGAACTTTAAGAATAGGTGTCTGATATTAGACCGGATGTCTGTACATTCTCATGCTTCAGATAGAGGAGCTGTGATTTGGGGTCCTTTCACTGCCAAGTCCTATTTGTATATGATGGGATTCAGTTGTTCAAGCTGTAATGTGTCACAGTATGTGTTCTCTCCATCTTTTTTTTTATTAAGGTAGTTGACCACACATCAAAGCTAGCAGTGAAATATGTCTCTGTTGCTTAGTCTGAGGAATTTTTATATTCAGGCAGTTTGTCAGTACGTTGGGTTAAATTATCAAAGTACAACATTTTGTGGGGTTCTTGTCTCTTCTTCCAAGAAAACAAGGGTTGTTTGCTGTAGTTGTTCAATTCAGTTTCCTTTATTGGCATAAGTGTAACACAGACAGTATTGTCAAAGCATTAAGAATGTATAGAACACAAAGGAAAAAAACCATTAGAATTGAAACTATCAGAAAACACTGTGTGTGTGTGTGTGTGTGTGTGTGTGTGTGTGTGTGTGTGTGTGTGTGTCAGAGATTGAGGTGTGTGAAGTTGTTATAGGTTCCACTGATTGTGCTTCAGGTCATTACAGGAGGGGTCTTTGGGATTGCCAAGCCTTGTGTGTGTGCTGCAGAGGAGGCACTGGTTCAGTTGTTGTTTCCTGTCTTAAACATATTGAACACGTGTTTTTTTTTTTTTTTTTCTTTTCACAGCTTCTTAATTTAGAGTTTGAGACTAGGCTGTGGATGTTAAGATGCAGTAATGAACTAATAATGAAAAAAAAAAACCCCTGCTGCTCTTGAATGAGCCGCTGTGCTTCCCTCCTGTCCTCACCGTCACCTGTTTCAGAGCACCGAAGGAGGAAGAAAGCCACTGACAAATGAGCTGAGTAGTAGTAGTAGTAGTAATAATAATAATAATAATAATAATAATAATAATAATAATAATAATAATAATAATGATGATGATGAGGATGATGAGGCCGACTCCACTGCAATCACATGATCACTGTGGAACACCTTGCTGAACACCCACAATGTAATGCATCACTTGCAAGCAGGACTGCCAGGGCCTCCCTGCTCAGCTGGAGATCAGGCTGCAGGTCCCAAAAGTCATTAGAAAAACCAGGCACTGCCCGGTTGATCTGACAGGGCTGTCGGCTCTGGAGGACAAGTTTTAAAAAGTTCCCTTAATATGTATGAGTTAGGTTTTTGAGTGAAATGAAATAATAGTAGTTTTTAGAGCAGCAGACAGTAACGAGGTATTTGGTGGTGTGGCTTTGGAGTGCAAGAAGGGACTGTTGGATTATTTACTACATAAAGCAGCATCAGGACAAAATTGTTAGAGATGTAGATGGTGTTGGATCTGCATCATGGCTACTTCAGATATCTCACTGTTCTCATTAAAAGAGGAGCAGAGACCTCTTATTGTTTGCCACTTGACATTTTGTTCCTCTCTTCCTGCTATGTCTTTGTGTTGCAGTCTTCACGTCCCCGCTTTGGTGTGAAGAGGAGGGCGTCGTGGCTCTCAGGGGAATTCATTCTCCGTTTGGTTTTAGGAAAGAATGTGTGATTCAGTCCACAAAAATGAAAAGAGCTTGAGACGTTGGGCTTGACATTTCCATAACTATAGAACTGCTGCAGCAGCATGTTGAGCATGTACTTTCATCCTCTGGGTACTAACAAAAGAGCCATTCTGTCATTTGTGAACACTTTAATTTACAGATTGCACTTTATCTTTTTCTTAACTGCTTATTGCATATGCATATATAATTTAGAATATAGGCCAGTTTTACATCTTTGTTTGCAAATCTAACGGATGATCAGAAAAAGAATTTTGACCTTTGAATCACTTTGGGAGTCATGGCATGTTCTAGTCTGAGTTTTGATTTGTGGTGGGGGGTTTATAGCTGGAATTAACCTTTTTCTGACACTCAACTGTGACAGATGTTGATCTCTCTGTTATTTTGGTATATTCTGGAGAACCACTAACTTATAAAAAGCATTTATTTGTTGGAAGAATCATTAAAGCAAGTTTTAAGGAAGCACCTGATGGATGGATGGGGGATGCTGATGCTGGGTAGTCTTTGTTACAGTGATTCAACAGGTTCTTTTCTCCACGTTAGTCACATGTATATCTAAATGAAGTAGGCAACATTTTCTTTGATTTGAACCAAGGTGTAATATTGTGAATGCTGTCATAGTGACTGTGGATGTTTTCATCCTCTGAAAAATATCACATTCAGTTGACACGCATATATTTTCTTGATATCTACTACAGTACCCATAATCCTTACTAGCTGTAGGTTCATCGTGTGATTGGGACTGTCCTTGGTATGATCCTTGTTACAGTGTCGCTCTCTCCACTTTTAGATACACCCCCCCGTGATCCATTATATCCTCAGCATCCTAACAACATGTTTAAATGACACTGTAAACTCTGACTGAAAAAGACCAAAATTCTGTCTTCATATCTGTAAAAAAAAAAAAAGAAGGCAGTCTGTAAAACAAATGAACAATTTCTGTTAAGAAAGAAGGTGAGAAAGAGATACAACACGTTAGTAATAGTTTTCTTGCAGGTCTAATGCTGTCACACACCTCCAAAAAAATGCAAATCCTACATAGTTAATTATTACACTCACAATTCACACTGAAATTTTGCTGAGTGATGAAACTGTTTGAAAAGTCTGGTGGCTGTAAATCATTTACCAATACAATAGCAGGATTTTGATGGTATTAGGATCACCCTGCAGCTATCCAGCTGCTGCTGGTGTCACCTGCATAACAGTAGATTGTATTCCAGTCAGAGCCAGCAAGGAAGCATCAAACACATACAGCTGGTGGTGTGTGTGTGTGTGTGTGGGTGTGGGTTTGTGTAGGTTGTGATAGCTGGTTGTGTCACATTGTAAATGTTGCGCCAACATCACTGTAGATGTGACCGCGACCTCAGGCATGCTGATGCTTTGCTCCTGTCTCTGTGCCATGCAGGCCTTTTTTACCTGTGCATTGCCTCAGTCTTCCTCCTCTATTGTTTGTGTGGTTGAGATGGTATAATAATAATAATAATAATAATAATAATAATAATAATAATAATAATAATAATAATCATCAAGTGTGACATTACACTTAACATTACATGTGAGACTCAGTTTGATTACTTGTATATTATCTGATGAAAGAGAAAGATGGGGGAGAGTTCTGTAGTGAATGGAATGGACAGAAAGTAATGGTCTACCTATAGGTGGCATAAATAGCTGCCTCTCCTACATTGACGATTGTTCAGCTCACAAGACAGCTGTGTATGGCAGAGGCTACTAAAGGTTCTTATATATATATATATATATATATATATATATATATATATATATATATATATATATATGAAATCCACTAGATGTAGCACTACTGCTGACCAGACTCCATTGACAAAACCAGGAATTTTACCTAACTAGTTATGTTTCAAGGCAGTATTACTTCCAAAGTCATTTTTCTGTATTGTTTTTGTGGCGATGAATGAAACTAACTCATGGCCTTCTGTGTTTCCTTTTTCTCTCTCTCTCCCAGGTATCCCCAAACCTCGCACCACCACAGAGCGAGCATTTGCACTGGCTGCCCCGGGTCCCATAACATCCAGCTCCAAACCAACAGCCAATCAGCAGCCAGCGTTGGGGTTGGTCGGACGACCCGTAGCACCCGCGGCGTCAAAACTTCCTGTTAAGGGATTACCCACAAGCCTCAGCTCCTCATCTCTGGGAAGCAATGAGAACAATGGAGCCACAAGCAAAGGTGAGGCGGCGGTGTGTGTGTGCCCAGCTCTCTTCCCCTCTCTCGCGCTCTCTCAAACACACACACACACACTCTCATCAGAGGTGGTATTCTTTGGTGTGGTTTCCCTATCACTGCTGACTTAACTTCCTTTTCTTTCACTGTTGGTGTGTGTTTCTCAAGCACTCACACTTGCATAAAGCGACACATCTGTCTCCATCGTATACACACACACACACACACACGCTCATATACAAGATATACAATCAGCTACTAAGAGTGTGCTGACGTTCATAAAGATTCTTGTACAAACAGGCTGTTAGAGGTAAATATACGGTCAGTTCCTCTCTGACTCTGTTGTACACTGTCATCAGACCCGCTCGCCCTGGGGAATCAAGGTGTGTGTGTGTGTGTGTGTGTGTGGTTGTGTGTGTGTGTGTGTGTGTGTGTGTGTGTGTGTGTGTGTGTGTGTGTGTGTGTGTGTGTGTGTGTGTGTGTGTGTGTGTGTGTGTGTGTGTGTGTGTGTGTGTGTTGTCTACAGCGCCATTCTTCATTAATTAATTAAACAAAACCCAGAAGCTCACAATAAATAATGTGCCTTGAGTGACAGTGTGACGTAAAACCTGGAGTACATCCAGCCATCATCATCCAACCTGGTCATTAGTGGTTACTGTCCTCACCCAGCAACTGTCTGACTCATCCTGAATGTTTCATAGTTTGGTGGCATTAGAGATAAAGGAATTTCTCAACCTGTTCGACCTGACCTGCGGTACTCTGAATGAGGGCTGGCAGATTTTCACTACACTATTATCATGGCCAAAAGAATTCATGATAATGATATTTACGCGAGATCTATATATAACTTTTTGAGAACAATTACACTCCATGAACCATAAAAAGTCAGAGAGATGGAAAGAAATGGAAATGATCTAAGAAGTGCTGGGTCACCTACACAATAAATCATTTGTGTACTGTGGTATTTTTATTTGGATAGGCTGCCTACAGATTGTTGGCATATTACTACACCCCTGCTCTGAATCTTGTGATCAGATTTGTTTTTGAACTTCTATTAGGCTAGTCCAAAATCAAAACACTGGATTGTTGAAGGCAAACACACTTTCTCAGGCTTGCCCCAGGCTTGCTTTTTATAGTCTCTACAAAGCCCTGCTAAACATCCCTACAAAAACATAAAGGGAAGACCATGAGATGTGGTCAAAGGCTCAGGAAAAAAGCTAGTTAGTGAGTGAGGGGAGAGCACTTGACCCACAGAAATATTGACATTTATAAACACATACTAAAATGTAATGAGAAGTGGTTCAACAGCTCTTTCTTCTCTTTTCCCACTGACACACTGATCATCACAGTGATAGTTACAGATCACTAGGTTGTTATGGTAACCAGATTACATTCGAGGTTCCTAGTTCCCATGGTAATATTTAGGTTCTGTATTCATCAGAGAGGAGCGTCCGTGTAGTACACCTCCACACAGTTGGTTTTATGTGTTCTATCATTTTATAGATGCACATTAGTAATGACTCTCATTTTTTATCACCTGTAATATGTTTGAGCGGTCCACATGAAGGAAAATAGACAAAGACTGTAGCCCTGAGGGCATTATACTGTACATGTGTGGAAACCAGGAATACACCAGTATGTTAGTCTATTCAATCAAACTCCACCCAGTGAAATTGATTATACTAAATAAAGAATTAATTGGTGAGAATAATTTGATCAAGACTGTTGTGTTAACAATAGTGATGTCAGTTAGATTAGATTAGGTCAGAGCTATGGAATATTAAATCCATCTTTTCTCATTACATCTTAACCTGTCTTACCCTCAGGTGTGTAAAAACCACAGGTTATGAACTTGGCCATAAGAAGCAGGTAATTATCGGTTATCGTATTATCATTTTTATCCTGCTGGAAAATACAGTATTTATAACCTACGATGACATGCAGATACATCTGGCAGTACATACTCGATACCTGTTCCAACATGTGCATTGTCTGTGCTGTCTGAAGCTTGTTTTTGCCAGTCTGTGCTCCACAGACCTCAACTGCTGCTCTGTGGCACACCCTGCCACAAGGACACTGTAATGGGGGTATCGAGAACCGGGACTAAACATTTTAGCTGCACTTTTCACTCCACTTTTACCTGGTTAATCTCTCCCAGTAGATCACATCAGAAACAACATGAGAGCTGTAGGTGATAGAAACACACATAATTAACACAAGACACAAACAGGAAAACAAGACCTTTTTTTCTCTCCGTCTTTGGTCTGTCTTTCTTTTTTGTGCCTGACAGATGCCAGTAGATTTGCATCACACATCCTTAAACACACACATGCAGACATCTGATAAAGCCCTCATGCTTTCATTTCTCAGCCTCCCATCACCACAAATGAAATCATACCTTAGACAGTATTTATGTTTGACATCCATTAGATAACTTCATCAACATATCAATTTAATCTCTGAATGGTGACAGAGTTGCCCTTATTTAAATGAGGTTGTATTGTCTGTATGTATGAGGAAAGGAACTACAGGAACATGTAGTTTTTGTAAGTGGTGCTCTATGTTGAACCTTCCTCCCGCAAACCACTCTACTTCAGTTCTCTGCTCTGCAAAGGATATGCTCTACGCATCTACCTTACTTTCTCTTTTAGATATTTTATTATAATTGTTGAGGTTAAAAAAAACACTATCAACACCCACTCCAAATTTCTGCTCTTTGATCTACGGCATGGCAAAGTAATATGTTATATCTATTTTATATGTCCTTTCCTTCAGCCTCTCCAGCACCAACAGGGACCAAGCCAGAAGAGCGGCCCAGCAGAAGCACTCTTCCTGCGGGCAGCCAGAGCACAGCAAAGCCCCTTGTCTCCAGCAGTGCAGCTACCACCACCACTAATGCTCCCAGTGAGGCAGCTACCAGTGCTACCAGTGGTGTCACTGCTGCTCCAAAGCCTCCTGCAATGAGGAGCAGAGCTCTGTCACTGCAGGCCAGGACCACTACTACAGGTGTGTTTGTGTGTGTGTGTGTACTAAATCCTCCACAACTTTATTTGTTAAGCACTTTAAAACAACCAAAGTTGACCAAAGTGCTGTACCATTACATATTTGCACTGCTTCCATTCTCTGTATCATGCCTTACTTACATAGTACTGTACTGTATGTTTCAGGACTTAAAAGAATATCAGAATTTAAGAGCAAAAAAGCTGTTCCATAAGACTGGACCTCTGTACCCTATTGAAAACTGGCCACAGCTAGTTCTGTAGAACAGACTATCAAGATCAGCAGAGGTGATAACTGGAGTGTCTCAGTCTAATTAGCAGCTTGTTCATCAGCAGTGATAGCTGTTTGTGTTCAGTGAGAATCAGATGGGTTTTGATGGAATGGTAGGCATGGTGATGTGTCACAGACTGGGTCGTGGAAGTGTTTATATGTTTATTATAGGACTGTGTGTGTCAAAGTGAGAAAATGTGAGAAAATGTAAGTAAAAAAAAAGGATGATTGATGAGTACACTGTTCTCAGTTTCCACGTGAAGCTGTCAGTGGAAGTTACTGTGTACAATCTTGGGCAGGTTTGTTGATGCTACAAGATTGCAGTTTATCTTAAAAGCCTTTCATTCAAAACCCAAACAGCAGCAGAAAAGGTAGGCGGAAAGGAAATCTCTACTTTGGAAGAATGACACCCTTAAACTCCTGTAGTACTACACTGCAGTAAAGTCCAGCATTAAAATTTTTACTGAAGTAAAACTACAAAATAATTAGCATGAAAATACACTTAAGTACTAAAAGTAGGTCCATTTCAGAATGATATAGATTTCATTATTTGATTATAATTAGTGATGCCTTCATGCGTAATCATCACTTCAATGTTGGTAAATATGGAGCTAATTCTAACTACTGCTGGGTAGGCTAATATATAAAAATACATTACAATTCTTTTTTTTTATTGTTTTTTGTATTAATATTCTGAATCTCAAGAGTAACTTAAGCTGTAAAATAATAATGTTGCTGAGTAAAAAGCACAAGTGCCTCTGATTTGTACTTAACGACAACACTTTCCACCACTGCACATCAGCCAGAGAGTGAGACTTTGTATTAAAGGTGTGAACGACAGTGCAACTTCCCCTCCACCTATAGTAGGGACTGGTTGGCAGGTTGGCTTTATAACACACGTGACATGGGGACCTCTCCTTTGCACTGGAGACAAGAAACAGACAGACAGCTGTTTCTGTGGCATATCCAGTCTGGGTCAGAGTCTGGACAATACATGTGATCCTATTACACAGAGAGAGGGATAAAGTGTAAGAGAGAAATAGTGACTCTAGCTGAGAAGTCAGCTGAGGACTGAAGAACAAGATAAGGATGGTGCAAGATAAATGATAAAAAAAAAACACAACAAGTTCCTGGTCGCAATCTGGCTTCTCGGACTTCAAATCTTGGTCATTTGACTCTGTGAGAGAACAGAAGAGTTTGAGCATCAACATCTAGCCGGCGAGGGAAACAAAGCCTTCTACAGGTTCTGCGATGGGTTTTGACTTCTTCTGCATCCACTCCACAGGTCTGAAGACCCCGACAGTGACCAACAACAGCACAGCCAAGACAGCTGCCACCAATCAAACGGCAGCAAAGACTACTCCCACTGCCACTCAGGGACTGACCAAGCAGGCGTCCCAGTATCCCTTGCAACGAAGCGGCTCGGCAAGGCTCAGTCGACTGCACAGCACAGGTAAGGATGAGGCTGTTTGTGTGTGTGTGTATGTGTGACTATCACCTGCTTGTGTGATGTGTTGGCGAGGAGAGATGTTTGTGTGTAAAGGGCTGCAGGTGTGTCTGCGTCTCATTGCACTAATCCCAGGATTCTTGGCAATAGCTGCAATGGCAAACATCCAGCACTATCACAGCTACTGTATGCGATCTGTGTGGGTGCATCTTGAATGGTGCAGAAATGAAAGCACCTGAAGCTGTCAACCTGTTTTATCTGGTATTCTGCAGGTATTTTGGCAAAACTACACTCTGGTCTGTGCCAAACGAGGAGGATTTAGCTTCAAACTCTTAAAGACGTTGCTGTTTACTTTCTACTTCCGTTCATGTGGTTTTGATTTTCTACATGGGTTCAGATGATGTGGCTAGCCCCTGCAGTATTCAGATTGATTCTGTTGATAGGCAGCATTTTGTGCAGCCAAACAATGTCTTTAAACATGACTGTGTTTCGGCAGGAGATGATGAAACATTTAGACACTTGTGTTGAATCTGACCAGTGTCTCATTTGAAAGAGTTCAGCTTTAAGTGTACAATATGTAATTTGTGCCACTCTGGGCTCTCTCATCAATTCAATGGTAAAAGATGTAGTTTGATGATGCTGTTAAGTAGCGTGGGATCAGTTGTTGTCTTTATTGTCAAACAACCACCATTGCTGATGAAAATCTATTTAATGAGACTCAGGCACAAATTGTCCATGGAGGAGGCAATGTCAGTGTTCCCACACATCTTGGAAAACAGTTGGAAACACCTGAAAATTGATTAAAATTACCAAATTTCCTGGAGATAATCCATGTTGTCCTGGAAAATTGTAATCGTATTTTAGCCCCTCACTCAGATCGCCCACTGACTTGCAGCGACCTTATTAGTGTCAAGTCAAGTTTTTCCGCAGCTGTGAACGGAATTCTCAGGGAAGCCCAGTGAAAATACAAGATTTCTGTAAAATAAAGTAGCTTCTACTTGGTTTAAACTAGAATTAGAAGGAAATGTAGTAAACTGTAGTCAAATCTCTGAGCTAACACAGTGGCCAATAAACGGCGTCCACCTACAAGGCCTACCGGTAATCATAAGACCATTTATAAGTGCTGTCCTGTACTGTCAAGAGAACTCCTGAAAAATGTCCTGGAAAGATCCTGGAAAATGATTTCTTAAACAGAGTGGGAACCCTGGATGTATTAAAGTCTTATTCACATTATGTTAAGTCGTGACTTCCTTCCTCACTCTCTGACCTATCCCATGTTTCCTTGGTAGTTATAGCAACTAGAGGCAAGTAGGAACGCACTGCTATCAAAATAAAATGGGTTTTTCTGGGTTTGAACATTGTTAGAAACATATGGCATAATGTAAGTACACAACTCAACTACGTATATAATTTAAGTCTTGTCTTTATAAACATTTTAATGTGGAAATGTTACAAATGGATAAACTTGTGTAATAAATGCAATCAGCCTGACCTACAATTAAAGACTGTGTATAATTACAGTAAGATATTTGCATGTGTCACATTGTGGACTTCCATCAGTGGAGGACTCATTTTTAGACTTGAAACCTGTGTGAGTGATAGAGAGCTGTTTCAGGTGGTTGATGTGTGCAGGAGAAGTCTGATGTGTGTAACCGGTTACAAGCAATCTGAAAACTCAGTACTGCAGTACGACTGATAGCAGCCTTTGTATTGTTTTGAATACTGAGTACAACTTTTAATAGTGATACAAGATCATTAATTAATTAATTCAGAACCACACTTATGGCTTATGGTTTGCTGTTCAGCTGCACACACACACACACACACACACACACACACACACACACACACACACACACACAAACAAACATGCATATTTGGCCTTACTGACTACGGCTCATATGCTGGAAGCTTAAGCAATCATAATTCTCATCCCTCTGCAGTCTCTCTGTAATTATTCTGCTGCTCATGACACATACTTGCGCACACACGCACACACAAATTATGGTTGAATTTAGAGTGGAGCCACATTTGCATCTCAGCAATACTGAAGTTGGATTTAACGTTTCAGTGCTGTTTATTGTCAGTTTTCAACCAGTAAACACTCATTCACTGGTGACCAAATCCAACATTTCGCACCAAAAACAGATTTTAAAGCAGCTTTAGAAATTATTTTAGTATCAAGACAATATTTCAGATAGTAATGCAAGTAGTAGATACATGTGCAGTCACAGATGGGGTCCTAATGTTGGAGCATGAAAAACACTGGTGCTTTTTCCTCCGTGCGGGCCTCATGAAGCCAGGGCCTGTGGTTGCAGCCTCCCCCTGCATGTGGTGACTCTGGTCTGGGCCCGGGCGCCTGGCTGCCTCCCCTCTGTGGCCGGTCCTTGAAGTCTCCGGAGGGCCTGTGGGGAGCCGCCACTCACAGACATGCTGTCACCTCCGTGATGGCAGGCAGCCTACACTTCATATGCCCCACACTTTTGATTCATGCACCCCTCTCTCTCTCTCATTCACACACACCACAGCAGCCCTCAGGCGACAGCGGTTAGCAGTGTGGGCTTTTAAAGCACTCACTGGCTTACTTTAGCTCTTTCTGTTTCGGTTGAACATGGACTTTATTGATTCTGACATGCACATACATATACATACAGGGCTAGTTTTATTGTCCACGCTCTCAGGGGACTATTTATGTGTAATGGCTGAGTTGTCATTTTTCAAGGCTGATTTGAAGGTTTTATATCAGTCAGATTTGTTTTCCTACTTGTATCGCATGCCCTGTTCAGTGCAAATTAAAGTTTTACCAGACAAGGTTTCTGTGTAAAATTGTATCCTAACAGCCTCAATCACAGAGCAGGACTGCAGTAAAGAGAAGTCTGTCAAACCCACCAGTTGAGTTACCTTCTGCTGCCATTTGGGGCTGCCAGTGCGCCAAGATGCCTGGTGTAGCTGTGAACAATTAACTTTCTCTTTCTTCTTGTTTCTCGAAGTAACCACCTTGTTTAAAGTCCCCTCCAGTAACAACTCAGTGTTCCTTCTTGCTCCTACAGTGTGCTGTTTGAATGCTGTATGTGCAGAGTTTGACACTAGAAGGATGTTTTCACATTCATCTGCTGAAAGTGGAAAGTTTCTCTTTACTCATTGAACACCTGATTTTAAGGGGCGGGGCCTACCAGCAGGATTTGTGACATTGTTACATATAGTAGTTGTTATAATAGTTTGGAAGACAGGCATTTTAAATGAAAGCTGAAAATGTGCATATTTATAAATTCTGGAATTGTTAATGAGATGGAGGGAGTAGATGCCTTTTTAGAAGATTTAGTGCGGAAAAATGTATCAGACACACATTACTGTATTATTCCAAGCAGACTGTTTGTCCTAATACATGTCTGTAGGGGATTTTTAAGAAAGGGAGTCATTATTCTGAGATACATTTGAAACTAGCTATTTAAAGTCCCGTATGGTATGCTATAGACAATGAGTGAATATTTGAATACAATAAAAGCTCTCTGGATGGCCAGGTGATAATGACTTTTTTATTTTAAAGGTTTAAAAGCATGAAGTTATCTTCAGTTTATCTTCAGAATAGAGTCTATGAGAATCAGCTGCTGTTTAGTGTCTTGTTGGAGGAAGCAGAGTGATCTAAGTGTTCATCTAGTGCTGTTCAAACTGTTTCTCCTTAGATGAGGAATGCAACTCTTATGGTTTATAGTTTTTGTGTCTACCTAATCATTTGAGGGTCTCTCTGGTATCAACCTCAGTTTACTCCCATTTCCAAGTTCTTTAGATCAACCTAGCTACAACTAATGCAGTCAGCTTTGTAATAAATCCTACCCTCTTGGATGTTCAGTGATGTTGTGTTGTCAGTTGATTTCAGTCTGGTTATTTGAGGTGGAAGGTAATCATCCTGTTGAAAGTGTATTGCGTTATAATGAGATGATTCTAATGTTTTGTTTCCCCTCATTTATGTAAATGGGTGGATATTATTCAAATTATACACACTGTGGAAAAAGGGTAAAAAAGAATACTACTACTACCTGTTAATCAGTCTTGTGTTGTAACTGATTACATGTAATCAGGATTATGAAATCAGATAACAAAAATAAGTAACTGTAATCAGCCCTTTTGAAAAATAAATAATTAGATTAAAGTGACTTTGTCGAGAATCTTTAGATCTTTGTTGGGGGGATCTAAGAGGAAAGGAAATGTACAAGTGCTCAATATGCAGCAGTAAACACATCTCCCCCTGCAGCAGGCAGTAATAAACTTTAATCTTGACCTTCGACATCGTCATTTTGAAAAAGAAGCTGAACTTAAACGTGTGTGGTGTGTGTTTTCAAACAAAGCCGTCTCTTTTTTCTTTTCACAAGGCGTCTGTATTTGGCTGAATAGGTTTAATATGGCACCTGAGAGAGAGAGAGAGAGAGAGAGAGAGAGAGAGACTCCTCCCACCCAGTATTTCTTCTTTATCGTGGCCCTTTCATCACATCTAACCTTGACATGATTCATCTCTGACACTCTCTCATTCAAACAGAGGCAGAGAGACTTGAGAAAAGAATGAGGGAGGGAGGGAGGGAGAGAATGAGCGAGCAGCAGAGAGATTATTCAAATCCCACCCACTCCCCCTCCCCCTCCTCTCCTGCAGCATCCCTCCCTCTTTGTGTGTGTGTGTGTGTGTGTGTGTGTTCAGTATTCAGAGAGCTTTAGAAGCAGCAGTAAAATAGAGGGAGTGTATAGATGCTTGTCTTCGTCCAACCACTCTGTGTGTGTGTGTGTGTGTACACATGAGAGCTACATCACTGTGACACACTGCGGTGCGTCAGGGGGACGGATCACTCTGTGTTTTGCGTGTTAACCGCAGAGACGGACTACTAATCATCACCAGTGTTGAGGATTTTCTCTCCTCCCTCCCTCACTCTCTCACACACACACATACACACAGGAGTACTACCTCTGTCGTTCCCTCCATCTCTATCGTTGGGTGATTCACTACCACCTGGACAACG